ACAACCTTGGTCCTTGGTCCATTTGCACAGCTTCTCTTATATTTGATCTAGTCACTCGCGTGTTAGTTAAATTTTCTCCAGAATAAAAGTTTGAATTACTTAATGAGCAGTAGTTTTCTGTATGTAGAGATTGCAGCTACCAAAAATTTGACAACCCGTTTAACATGGTTTTATAGAATGATCAGACATTTTAAGCAATTATTGTTGGTGAAGTTACCTGAACACAGTAGAATGAACCGTAATAAATGTGAAAATAACCCCCGAGTCACGGCATTTCCCACTAAATTAAGATGGTTTTCATTAATCTAGTGCTCTGTACTGAAAGCATGAATAAATTTAGCTTTCTTAGGACCCATTTGATTAATTTCTTTTTTAAAAGGCGAAAAGTATAGTATGAAGGGTAGCATCATCAGCTAGAGAAATACCGTTCCGTTTTTGCGTAAAAAGGCGTCAACATGAAATGCACTACTGTGGGATCACGATCCCATTTGCATGCGTGGCCATGAAGAAGGTTGATACTTGCGTCTAGACAAGTGATGCTCAACCCACCGTTATTCAACCTCGTCTACATGATCTTAGCCACTTTTGTAACATGTAAAACTGTGCGACTCTGGTAAGTAAATCTTTCGATTTTCTCTGCACTCCTTGCTCTGATTTATGGTAGTCTTGAACCTTCCCATCTCCCTGAATCCACACTTCCAGTTTAATTTCAACTCCAAGCTCCTGTATTGGAATAAGGGGAACTAATTGTTCGTCGTAAGTGTAGATCATTCCCTTATTCCGGTGATCTCTATGCACCGGAAGTCATTTGTCTGCCATGTAAATTCCCTGTCCAAGTGCATATTTTGAAGACAAATCCTGTCACGCATAACTCAGCCGTGTTTTGAATCAAAGATGCTCGTTTACATGAATTAGCGCATCATTTTTATTGTCATAAATATATTGGATAGTGTTGTCGGAAGTCTGAAATGCCATTTTTTCGAATCAACAATTGAAGTCATCAAATCGTTTCTGGAAATTTCTAAACATTTACCCAGTTTAGAAGAAATAGATGAAACTCTAAGCGCCCCGGTACCATTGCCACCATGTAGTTATGTAATTACATTTATAGTATCTTCAAAAAAGGACAAAATAAAATTAATCTTGTATATTCCTTTAAGGTAAGCCTTATTTAGGCTATAAACACAAATCAACATTGAAATAATTGAAAAGATTTCGATTAACAGGGTGTTTATGTAAATCAGATTTCCTTTTGTCTCACCGGGTGTTGCCCATTAAGCCATTACTTCGATGGGAAAACAAGAAGCGATTATCCTTCATTCAGGCACAGTGGGCAGCTCTGTAGCAAAACTTTTCTAGACCGTTCATGGCCAGTACCACTTTCTTTGTTAATAACCTTCCTACAGAACGCGGAACCGGGGAAATCGCCAAAGGCAAACGTCATTTCCAGCCCTTTTGCGATGGATCGTCACAGATGTACTTCTTCCGCCTCGCTAGGGCTTATCACGCAGCAATGGAAATCAGATTAGATGTCCTTTAAGAGAGGAGTTGCTTTTCGCCGCCACTCCAAGACTTTCCTGAAGACGAGGGAAGATATAATACTCGGGTACAATTCGTATTGTCAACTTGTGAAAGGACTGGAGCCACTGGTGTGGTTCAGGGCCAAGCCCACCCAGCGAAGGTACAATGGCGCAGGCCTAAAGTGGCCCCTTTGCTAAAAACGAGCGTTAAACAGCCAACGTGTTACAATTCCTAACTTAAAATTACAATACCGTCACCATTCCCAGTCATGGTTGATCTACCCATCGCTGAGATCACGCCGCTATAGTGCAAATTTACAACGATAAGGTGGTTAAAAAGTACTTTGAAATCCGTTCATATAAACAAGGCACAATAGAAGGATAAGGCAATCAGAGGAACACTTTAGGTTTTATGTGGAAGTATGCGTCTATTTTTGGAAGCATAAAGTGGATTTGTAAGTAGTACTCTCTGTTTCCGTAGACAAGATCCCCGACTGCTTCCACATAAAATAGCGTGATTACGCACCGGATCAGTATGACAAAAAAAGTAGTCACTGGTAAACATTAACTGTCAGCCCTGTTTTGTGGATGGGCATGTATATGTGGATAGAATATTTGTGTTTTGACCGGCCCCGCAAATGCTAGCACACTTTTAACAGTGAGTTGGTGTTAGACACAGACAACTGTGCTGGTGTTTTGCAAGCTCTGCTGGGTTGAGGTCAAGATGAAACACAGCTCTAGGCCATTGAACTTGACTTAATAACTTGTAGCTCTCCAAAATCTGCTTTTGTGCCGCAAAACAGCATCACGATTACCAAGCAGAAGCCAGGATGACCCCTTTTCCATTGAAACGTAAATTTATTCATTCAATTAGAAGTGGTGGGCGAACTTGAGAAAAAACGGTGGTGAGATCACTTTCGCGAAACTGAAATTGCATTATTATAGTGTAATACTTTCACTGTTTCCCTTTCCCACCTCCGACTTCAGATTGGGATGATTGAGTAGAGGAAGGCATCCTATATTTGCGTATTATGGATGAGTATATAGATGAGTTCGCCCCATTCTTGGAGATCGGTGAGATCCGCCCAGCCAAAAGTTTGGTGTTAATTCACTGCTTGTCACCTGAAAGGTATATTCGTACAAATATGTTTTACATGGGAGGATTCGTGAAGTACAGCTATTGAAAAATGCTAGTATTATTCATTTTTAGGTATTAGCAAATAGTTCGAAATCCTGATTGCATAAGTGGTTATTCAAAAAGGGATATTTAGCTGCATTCAAATTATTTCTACTGTAAAATATTAACGTTAACATTTTCCACCCCATACACTGAAATGAGAATTCGTTGGTGGAAATTGGGCAGAGCCTTCAAGAAACCAATCCATTCATAAGGGCCATCACAACTTTGCAGGCAGTGAAGAAGACGTGGAGACTGCATCACTTCCCGAAGATGCAGAACTTTCGAAATTGCCTCTCACAAAGTACCACAGTGGATAACCCTAAAACTTGCATGTAAATTACAGTCTATCAAATTAAATTTTTCGCACATGCGAGATGTAAATTTACTATAGAGGCAGATTAAGATGTACAGCGATGTGGAAATCTAAGACAAGTTTCAAAACTGCTTTGGTAAAAATTGAAGCGTAACTGACAAATTACTGTAGGATGCTGACGAAACGTACCTCACCTAAAGATAACCAGAAACAGCATTGTACTCATTTTGCAGAACGCAATCGAACACCTTTTTAACACCTTTGAAGATGAGAACTGTGGTTGATAAGTAAAAATGTGTTGCTAATGGTTAACCTCCTTGAGCTACTCACCTCGCGACTCGTGAGAGCCATGATTCACAAGTTCGTAGAGGAAAGACACATAAGCAAGTGTAATACGATAGTAGTTTATCCCTCGGTTCTGGTGAGGCGCCACTTTTGTACTTTGAATTAGCCCCCTTGTACCTCGCTGGGTGGGCTGGCCTTTCGGGCCATGCCAATAGCCCAGACACCTTCTCTGTACTGAATGCATATTCTGTCTTCTTTCGTCTTCAGGGAGTCTCGGGACGCTACATTGGTGGTAGCGGAAAGTGAACCCGATCTTAAAAGACATGTATCCTGGTTTTCCACTTCTGCGTGATAAGCCTTAGTGGGGCGGAAGAAGCACATATGCTACGGATGGGAGAATGGTGATGACCCCTAATAGAAGGGTTGGTGTTGACGTCCACCTTTGGCATCTCTCCCAGTCCCGTGTTCTGCAGAAAAGCTATTAACAACTGAAGCGACACTAGCCGCCAAGAGGGATCAGTGACGTTGAGGTCAAGTATCCCCTCAGTTGCGCACTAATTTGGTGACTGGCACGGTCGGATCGTGGGTGTTTCTTTACAGCACTGACTACGTTGTAATGGCTGACGCGGGAGGTTGACCCGCGGGAGCGCCGGGGACGACGCTCAAAAGAGGAGGGAGGCTATGTAATACGACAGTGGTTTATCCCTCGGTTCTGGTGAGGAGCCACTCTTGGACTTTGAATTAGCCCCCTTGTACCTCGCTGGGTGGGCTGGCCTTTTGGGCCATGCGAGTAGCCCAGACACCTTCTCTGCGCTGAATATATATTCTGCCCGAGTATTTTGTCTTCTTTCGTCTTCAGGGAGTCTCGGGACGCTACACAAGTTTTGTTTGTTTACGAAGTGTTTAATGTACTAAAAAAGACCAGTTGGCCCTGATACAGCTTTTCCACTCCCTCTTCTGCTTCCAATTCTCGTACGTCACTTATGCAGTGACTTGCAGTGATCTTTTTGGTTGTCCGGTTAAAAAAAGCTGGAATGTTTGATGAAGACAGACGTAAGGAAACGACTTTGTCACAGGGACGATAACTGCTCTACTAAATAATGCAAAGCTTTTCCAAAATTCAAGCATAATTATGAGGCTGGATGAAATAATGCAAACTAAAGAGAATAATTCGAAAGGCAGAATCCAGACAAGGGTGATTGAAAGTTAAAAAAGTCAGGATTAAAGCAAGTGCTCCAAAACAACAATACCTAAGGGACCCTATATGTACAAGTGATTGCAAGACGTGACTTGTTGAGTCGCTTGAGCAAACTGTCTTCAAATGCACTTGTCAAAATTTTTTAGTGAGTTAGTTTTGAAACCCATGTCATGTACCAAGGCAAAGATAAATAACTGCTTCCACTTATGTGCTTGCCGTGTGAAATGGAATAAAAACTGATTTCACAATGTACGATGAGTAAATTACCAGATGGTCATGTCAATACAATAGACAAATTAGCTCAGCTAATGACAAATAGTTGAGGAAAGGTTAATTCCTCCCAGTAAATGAATCAGGTGCAATTTTGAGTCATTTAAGGTAGTTCAACGAGACCCAAGTCCTGGGTGCATTTCTTAAACAAAATGGAAAATCATCAAGGGCAAAATACGGTTATCGAACAGTTAGTTCGGAAGACATGGGAAAGGGAGGGGAAGGAAAACACCCTCAGCGGGGACCGAAATCACCTTTTAGATTTCCTATGGAGGATATGAGGTCAATTGAGAAAGGTGCCGTCTCAGAGGTACTGTGAATAGCAGTTAAGACGATGAGAATGGCATACAATTCTACCGCCTTGTTCTTCTTTTCTAATCACTGAATCGTTCACTGCTCCCTTGTCAACAAAAGCAACCTTTGTAAATAATGATGGACTTCTTTTATTATGACTGTTAAGGCAAAATCACAAGACCACAATACCTCTGCATTCTGTTCCAGCCGCCAATTTCTTTTACATCAAAGAGGGATTGGAAATTCAATGCTTGCCACGTTTTACAAAAAAAAAGATCCATGTACAAACTGTTACACTAAGTCAATGTTTTCCCAACTATTTTTAAAAAAGTTTTTAAAATTGTCAGCTAAAATGGCTTCCCGGATAGAAGAATCTGCCGACTCCAATAGCTTTGTTTCATCTGCTCAGGCCCTAACTAACCTTTGTCGAATTAGCGACTAACTTTCGTTACCACAGTTGCCAACCCAAGTGCTTGGATTTCGTGATGGAGACTCTCGGCAAAGATTAACACAAGAATTAGAACCCCGTGTCTCTCATTTACCTAGAGGTGTCTTTGTCCATCCTCGTATGATTACAAAATACTTATGGTTAAACTGGGACGTAACCACTATCATACGGAATAAACTGCAAAAAGAATTAACGACAATTTTGAAAAGCGATCAAAATACTTCAGTCCCTAGAGAAAGCTTCTGAAGTTCCATAACTACTTGCGCGATCGTAAATTACAATCTACTCAAAGATCACAAAGAATAAAAAGACGCGGTAGCTTTTCAAAATTTAAAACCACATGCTCAATCCACACCTGCACTTACCAACAAACACGTAAAAACCCTTAGTCGGGACCTGATATTCTTTTATCATATGCAAAATAGGTACCAAGATGAACATGGAGGGCTCAACTGGAAGGAAAGGATAGGGGTAAAACAGGAGGAAAAGCTCACAACATCCGATCAAAAGTAGTGCCACAATTTTTTAGATGGTTCTGGTACTCCAGTTCTGTGATATAGGTTCCACCACAGGTCACACAGTTGATCTTGCTCTCCGGATGCTTTCGTAGGTAATGCGACTTGAGAGTGCAGTTCTGCGTTGAGGAGTAGTGACACACTCGACAGATATACGGTCTCTCCCCCGTATGAGTTCGTATGTGCACAGTGAGATGACTCTTCTCTACCGTAGTGTAAGCACAGTGGGGACAGAAAAATGGTTTCTGTTTAGTATGCTGGGCCATTACGTGTTTACGCAAGTGAATCTTCTGCCGATAAATGCGACCACAGAAGGAGCAGCTGAAAGGCAACATTTTAGGAGGATAAGAAACCTTATCAGCTGGAGGATGATCGATAATAGGTTGAGGAGTTGGTTGGAAGGATAGATCATTGTTCGGGGAGGTAACGCAGGGTGGCTGGATAAGACTATTGATAAAACCTAAGTCTTGTGAAACAGGACTCTTATCAAGGTCCACCGACTGCTGATCGGGCAAAGAAAAGAGGTTTGACGGTGAGAACTCTTCCATTACGTGAGGATCGGACAAACCGTCTGTCTGACAGGAGGCCGATGCCGTCAGTTGAGGACACGATGATGGTGGTGGAGCTGAACTGCAGGAGCAAGAACCGACTGCACACAAACACGAAACACCTGCCTGCGAACAGCAAAGACTGAGAGCATATGAAGAGGAGGCATTGGTGACATCAACTGAGGTCATCTGCCGTAGATGCATGTCCAATTTACTGCAGGCAATTTTGTGAATAAGGCGCAAGCTATCCTCCAAATTTAAAGCCATATTCAAGGTACTGCATGAGTTGGGGGCGTATGAAACGCTATGAAATTTGAGACCTGAATTTCCAGCTTCACTTGAGGAGGCTCGACACGAAGTCCTAGGGACTTGGGGTGATGTAGATGATGGTGAGGCGGCTGTGACGAGAGGTCCCTGAAACAAACCACCTGATTCACCGATCTTTTGTGGAAATTTATCGAGGTTAACGTTCGCTAGTGAGCTGTCCTGATCGCGAACACCACCAATATGATCATTAGCAGAGCACTCCATCTGCTCATAGGAGAAAAGTGGAGTTTTTAGCCCAGCACCTGGTTGGCAACTTGTTCTGTCTGAATAGTTAAGATTTCTCACCAATTTAATTCCGTGGTCATTTTGAACATGAAAAAGAAGGGGCCACGGACTATGGAAAATCCGAACACATTGAGAGCACTGTAAACCCTCATATTTACTTTCAAACAAGGAGTTAGAACAATTAGAACGTTTGTGTTCAATGAAAAATGTTAGCTCGGACAAAGGAAACTCCAAAGAACATGATCCGCAATAGATAAAGTCGGGCCGCATGATTCAAGAAATGACAAACTACGAACAGACACGGGCTATTAGCCGGCCCTTTTTGATTGGCCAGAGGCATGTCATACAACATCAAATATAAAAAGGGTTAAGAAAATTTAATTTGAAGTTGATTAGAGACATACTCCTGGAATCAAAATTCTCAAAGCAGTGGGTGTTCACCTTCACATATTCTGTACACAAAGTGTGGGGAAGTTATTTTATTAATGTGGGCGACAATAAAACAAAAATGACAAAAATAGTGCCAGAACAGTATCAAAATATACAGAGTCCTTAAGTATAAGAAGGCAGTAAGCACAATGATGCCGGAAAAACACTAACGTAAATGTATTCGATCATTACCTGCTTGGTAATCAAGCAACAAATAATGTAAATGGTGCGTATGGAACCACATAATTTACTTTACCACAATATGCAGCTTTGTATTTCCTCTTTTCAGTGTAAGATGTCGTTGTGGATCATTTCTCAAAATATGGGTTTCTAAGTCTTCGCGGATCACAATTCTACTATCTGTTTTAAGGCTCAGCCTATGCGCGAAGTCACCTGGGTTTTGTACATTAATAATAAATCCTTCTTTACAGCTTTTTCTGTGAGGCCAAAAAGCGCAAAGGGCAAAATGTTAAAGCCAGAGACAAGTAATCTAATCGACAAGTCTGGAAATCTTACCTAGTGGGCTGTCTAAATTGCGAATAATATTCCTGCTTATGCCTAAAATACTCAATAATAATGATGGCCGTGTGCCACCATCTCAAGTAGTTAGATCTGTGACTACCCCTAACTAGTGAACACGTAGCGTAGCGTCCCGAGACTCCCTGAAGACGAAAGAAGACAAAATACTCGGGCAGAATATATATTCAGCGCAGAGAAGGTGTCTGGGCTACTCGCATGGCCCAAAAGGCCAGCCCACCCAGCGAGGTACAAGGGGGCTAATTCAAAGTCCAAGAGTGGCTCCTCACCAGAACCGAGGGATAAATCACTATCGTATTACAGTAAAGCCTAAAGTGGACTCAAAATCTATTTTTTAACCAAACTGCCATCCCGAATAAACTTATTTGTGCTTGGTCATTGTAGGCAAATGATACACTTAATAACCGTAAAAACTCATCAACTTATTTGATGTTATTCAAGCGTGATCATTAAATTTACCTGGTCTCTCAAGAGTTAAACTCGGAGGCAGGCATTTGTATCATGCCAGTACCTTTCGAAAGCAAAGGCTGTAGTAGCTTGGCTTAAAGTCAGCTACTTTTAAAGGCAAGTATTTACATCTTCTTTTATAAAATATCCCTTTGCCACGTAAGTTAGCATATTGTGAGGCACAAATCTCAACTTTTGCGTAAAAATAGTAAAATGTTTTAATGTGTTTCTTACAAAATTTTTTTCATGCAATGAGCACTTTTTTGTGCAGTTATTGTGCTTTTGTGAGTTTTAAGCGCTTTTTAGGTAACCCATATAGCAGCTTTAATGGCATTGATGTAACTTCTCAAGGCCAGCGTCGTTTCGCGCAGCAATCGAGATTTTTATTCTTCGTCCCTGAAAATGGATTCGTCTGATATTTATGGTGGTCCTCCTTTGCAAATGCCTCTCACACCAATGGAGTTTGTAAAGCAGCCAAGAGCATTGCTGAAAATTGCAGCCGCAGTAAGCGACTTTTTTTGCGGTTATGAATCTAAGTCCTACGACATATTTGGAATCCTACTAGTGTGTATTGGAAACGGGTTTTATTTCGCATAGGTACTATAGCAATAATTTGTGCGCTCGTAGAATTTTGTAGTTTTTTTTAATTTTGGTGAATTTTGTAGCCCTCAACTCTTATCTTCCCAATTGTTGGTAGTAAGGCTTTTTAATTCTTTTAAAAATATCTTAGTTAACCTGCTAAACCAAGTAAGTTGACTAACATTTAATATTTTAGATTATTTCAGTTATTGGTCTTGGCTGTGCTACTAATGGCTGCATGGTGGATGAATATTCCATATTTAACAACGACGCGAACGCATGTCGTTTTGCTGTGGCTGTTACTCTCCTTGGCTTTCTTTTTTCTCTCATTTCCCTTGTCTCTGACTATATGTACGATAAAACTGCTAACGTTAAGCGATGTCACTATATCCTCATAAGTGACATTGGCGGTGCCGGTACGTTTACTTAGTCATTGCTGTTATGATAAAATGACATTTCTCTGTCAATTATTCAAAGCAGATGCCTATAATTTTTGCGTATTTTTAGCACTGACTCCTAAGAAATATTTTGTGGTGATGGTGTACATTTTGTACGCATCTAATTACCAACAATAAATGAACTTCTTACAGTCTTATTAACAATATTTGTATTTATTTCTGGGAAGCTAGTGAATTTAACGGTTTCTGAGTAGAGTTTATCGTTTTTATTAAGTATGAAAATGCAAAATCTCACTTTTAGTCCCACTTTTACTCGTGCACTCGCTCATTGAGCCTCAGTTACAACATTTGAAGTATCATTAGATAAATTACAAGAACCTGGAATCCTTCTACTCCCTTTTATCAATGGCTAATCTTATCTGAATTATTTTCACTTATGATGTATGTGTAAATGAACATAACCAGAAGTAAGGACAAAAATGAAGTGAAAATGAAGTGAACATTGCCTGCCACTATTTTAGGTTTGTTCGCGCTACTGAATTTTGTGGCCTTCTGCTATCTGGCCAACCGTTGGTCGAACACCGAGGGCACGTGGTTGGAGGAGAGGGGCTTTGAGCAGTGGCAACAGCGGAACGCGCGCTCCGTCACCTTCTTTGCCTTTGTCGCCCTCGTGGCTTGGGTGAGTGCCCCTCGTTTACGCGCGCGTGAGCGCTTGCCATACATGTCCGTACGGCCGTACGCACGCACGCTTTTCTCAAAGCAGTCTCATTTCACAATCTTAAATCACATTTGTTCATTCGTTTGCGTGTTCATTCACTTGCTGCTTTGCCACTGGCGGCCTTGCCTTTGGGCACTGTCCAAACGGTACAACAGTTTTTTTGCTCATCGAGACAAGATTGGGGCCGTGTATTCCTGGTCAGCTCATTGCATAGCCGTTACATTTCACCACTTGGAAAGCGTATGGCCGAAATTAAGTATCCTATCTTTGTAGCATAAATTTGGCATTGTTTTTTTTGTAGGAAATTTGGTTACTAATTATTGCTACTTGTCGTAGACGAAACTGAAGTTACTTATTATGTAATCTGAAGGGCGTATTCGTACGAAAATGCTACAAATAGTGAATGCTTTCAAACAGCTTGGTAACAGATTTAATCGTCCATATTCAGCAGAAATTGGTTTAACTTTACTCCAAAGCAAGGGCAAATGACCAGGTATGTATCCTTTGTGGCTACTTCTTGCAATTTATTGCTTTCCGTATTTCATTTTATCGACAAAACTTGTTCGTCTCACTGCATTTTATTTTTAACGCCAACTTCCCATAATTCCTATATTTTTATGTAAACTAAACGCTGCGGTGGTCTTTAACGTTTAGACAATACTGGTATCATTACCTTGATTGATGTCGGGTATCCTAAGAACCTAAGTTAAAGAAGTGCTTGAATGCATACTTTGTGCCAGTTTTCTGACTGTTTTACACATAGTGAATGTTCCGGGGCGTATCTTCATGAAAGTGACAAATAAAGTTTCATATAAAAGTCAGCCTATGGATATCTTCCCAAACCTATAAACTGATGTACTTGGATAAAATATGACTTAAATGTAGATGACAATTTATAAGGAAATAGCTAGACGTTTTGGCAGTGCTTGGCAATTTTCTCATACTGAAGCGGCAATTCTTACCACTTCTGTTGTTTTACATATGTTTGTATGTTTTATTTTGTTTCGATGGGAAATAATAAGTCACTTGAACCAATCTTGTTTTCCTAACTTTGGCATGGCTTTCAATCCCCCTCTGCTTGCTTGCTTGTTTGCCTGCCCGCCTGTCTATCTCGTGAGTTTGCAGTTGTGCATTTTGCGCGTTTGCTTGTTCAACTCGCCCTGCCTCTGGGCACAACTCATTTGGGGCGACGAGTGTCTTCGTTCTTTAGAAAGCAACTACGAAAGACATCAAAATTAGTGCAATATTTTTTTTCCAATAAAGATTAAGAGGAAAATACATCCTGTTTATAGCCGACCTACCTGGAGGGAAGTAGGACTAAAAAAATGCAAGAAGGTGAATTAACAAGTCGAGTATGCATTATAATTAATGACTGCTTTTTATATTTTTTTTAGCAAATTCATTATACGTAAGTATTTCGTTCGCGTCATCAAACTGCCTCGGCATAACAACAGGCATGAGTAGATAGCTTATTTAAACTCATCAACTGTTTCAATACCTTGCCGTCAATTGGTTGCTCAAAAATAATCTCTAATATTCATCTAACTCAGCCGCGCAGTTAATTTAAGATAGTGTAATAATTCCATCTTTTATTTTGGCTGGTAGTGCGGAAACCAAAATCCTGAAAATTTATGAGGTTTTTGTATAGGACCTTCTTAAAAGTCGAAATTTGTAACAAAATGAAATGCTCCCCTCTAGCAAATGAATTATAATGTGTTCAAAATTCGAGAATCCTTTCAGCTCTTCACCTGTCGCACACAATTGTGTCTTGCTGAAAATCAAATCTAGTGTTTGGATTTTATGCAAAAAGGGTGATTTTTTTACTAAAGCCTAATTTGTTATTCTTCACATTCTAAAGAATAATACCCGAATAACAGCTTGTTTTATATCTATTCCTCTACCGCGACTAATGTGTAATGTGAATGGAATTTAAAGATGTCATAAGTTCCTTGGTGATCAACATTTTGTTTATTCCTGAGACGTTTATTCAAATTAGTTTTGATTGTACAATACCGAAAGTGGAGATGGGGAAATGAAAAAGTGAACCATTTTGATTTCTTCAAAGCCGTCAAGCGCTTTAAAGGTAGTCATTATTCCTCCCAACTTTCTCCTTCTGATGTGTGTGTCCCACAAATTCGTCCATTCGTTTTTGCGTTTTGCGCATCGTCGTTTTGGCCGCCTCTGCTTCCGTATGCTGCTGAAACAGTGACAACTAACTCACATCACTGTGAGGTATTGCTAGCCTATCTCAACGTTCGTTTCTCTCCTCAGCTGATATATTTATCGTTAAATTTTTTTTTGAAAATAAGTACATTTCTTTTCTCAGTCAAAACTTTAAGCATAGAAATAGCATTCTAATCTTTTCATTTGTTTGAAGCTGATAGTAACGACTTTTGACTGTTATAAATACATTTCATATTAAAGTAATTAACGTAGCAACATTTTTTGCTTTTGCCGTAATCGCTTGTAGAGTAAATTATAGTAATGGCATATTATGGATAAACAAACTAAAAAATAGGCATTTTGTAAATAAGATCAACTATGAAGGTGATTTGTCCCTACTTTCGCAGCCATGGACCGCCATCAAAATGGGGAACTAACATTTTCCCCTTTGGTTCATGCGAGGCAGTATGATCTTAAATATTACTGAAAAGAAAACAATATGAAACGATAAAATCATGAAAAGTAATTGCCCTTTGTGATCAACTTGCGTTTTGATTATTAAAATTTTCAAAAAATGACAAGAATCTCTTTGTTATTGTCAAAATTTCGAACCTTCACGTAAATAAAATGACTTAAAACCAGATGAGTACGCTTTGTTTCATTAAAAAGAGTAACTTCAGGTTCAATCCGTTTCATTTTAGGATTACAGAGTTCTCACTTTTTTAGTTGTTTATCTTTTTTAAATTGTGCTATTTGAAGCACATCAAAATGTGAACTAGTCATCGGACTTAGTCGTAAGGACTCATGCCTTTCATCTTCATGGTGTCTTTAAATCCCTCTGTAAGTTTAATGCCTTCTAAGCAGGTGGATAGGGTGCTCCTAATTCCCTGTCTAACGCATTTCATATTTCTCATTTGTGAGTGCTTCGTCGTTACCTTGTCAATAAATTTTTGGTCTTTGTTGATTTGGTCCAAACAAGTTATTGGGATGATTTGACGTCTAGATGTTTGGGAATACGCAATTTTAAAATTGATTGCCTTAAAATAACTGCTTCGCTTAATTCACATTTCACTTGTTAACTGCAAAAATCGCTTTTCCAAAGCTGGAATGATCCATCGCACGAGGTATCTTATGAAAAGAAATTTTCCTACCCAAATGCAGCTTTGACCAGAATCTCTATTCACCACCAGTTGGGCTTCGTTTCATCTGCAACGATGAATAAGTTTATAAGTGATTTTATCAGTATAAAATCTCATCATGCTAAAGCGCTTCGCGCTTACCAACAGAAGATTAGCTACTGGATGTTCCAGTGCTAGATTCAAAGTGGATTAGAAAAAACATCGAATATTTGGAGGAATTACTTGTTAAATGTATTCCTGTTAAATATTCTTATGTCGTCAAACTGTAATCAAAATTATGAGCATTTAAACGAAAGAACGAAGGATCTTTCTTTACTTTTCTAAGAAATGCACAAATTGCTGACTGAATTGAAGTTTAAATAAGGCAAAATGAACTTTTTTGAGTTACGTATTAAATTGCCCTAGTTACTTTTAAGTTGTGCCTGAGTGCTTTTGTCCCATGTCTGTTTGTACTTTATAATCCGTTTTTAGCTACATGCTGCAATTGATTTTTAAACATGCAAAAGCATTAGTCTAAAACAGGACTTAAGATTTTTATAACTACTGCCGTTTGTAAAATTTTGAATTATGGGAATTTCATGGGGTCAGCTTTTTAAAGTGTGCTCACTCGGAGTATAACATGTAGAAAAGGTTTTCTTAGGATTTTTTGAATCACTCGTTAGGGTCAGTGCTTCCAATATCTACTGCTACACATCGTTCAGTCAATCGTTCACATTTTATCCTGTTTTGAGGAATTTCTTAATTGAGTATCATCTTTAAGTCTGTCCTTTTTGTGGTTGGGCTGCTTATAACACTCAAATATCTCACACAAAATAACTATTTTATCTTACTGATGTAAAATTTATTCATTACCTATTTGATACTAAAGCACCCTGAGGCTTCTTTGAAGTCGTAATAAAGCCAAGTAGTGAGGAAAAGTATACATTAATAACGTAGGGAAGAGCTGAGAAACTACTAGCATGGCCTAAAGGCTATGCTGCCAAGTAGGGATATAATTCGGGAGGACTTGAGAGACCGTGTAACTGAACACACAGTTAAGTAAAATACCAAAAGCCTACGATACATTGAAGTTTCATCCAATATGCTATGTAAAGGAATGGGCGTTCTTGACATCCTTCATGGATACATAAAGGTAGTTACGTAAAACCTTGTCGTTTCTCCCGTCCACTTCAATTTTCAAACCCTTTAATCTCAAAGCTTGATTTGTTGAGGGCACATTGTAGTGTGGGAAAAGATGATTGCGCAGACAGTAAAATTTAAGCGAAAATCGGGATTTGCATTCCCTTCAGTGGTCAATAGTGACGCCTGAATCGCTAGGCTTGTTTAACTTGATGGTGTGTTACATAAAAGCTGTGGTCGGATAAGCATGTTTTGTAGCCACTTTTTGACTTTTTTGCAGTGACCACTGTTGGTTTACAAATTGTAAACTATTTCAGACTAGTATATTCAAGTAGGTTTCATTAAGTTTTTGAGGTACTCAGTAATAAAACTTGAAAGCAATGCCGGAGTGGACGACCAACTACGTAGGTTGGTATTGTTACCCATCTATCCAGTTTATTAAATATTTAAGCCAAACGGATATCTACTTGCCTATTTTTCTGACCTACATAATTAATGTTATCTCTTATTTGCTCCTTTGTTTAACAGTAGCCTGGAATTTCAATAATAACCTACTTTAATTTACGCATTGGTGAGCTAAATTTTTTGAATGCATTTTTCGATAAAATTTTATTTTGAATTGAAAGCTATCAGATGAAAATTTAGAAACTCCTGCTCCTTGATTCTATTAAATTTCTCCATAAATTTTGCCGAATTTTTGATAATATATCTTCTATTTTGATGTATGCTATGCCAAAAACCTCCGATACTTTAAGTGCAACGGTTTCCGGTGTTCCCTTTTTCATCTCCGGCTTCATACTATTAAGACTGGATAAGTGGGTGGTGAAGGTAAAGTTCACGGTATGGTGGCAGTTTATGGGTTATTAAAGTTTAAAGGAGATAGGTGTTCCCTACCTCTTCAAGGGTCGATGGTCTCCGCTTAGTTACGTGGAAAACCTAATCCGACCGCTTGTCAGCTAAGCGGTACACTCAAATACGCATGGTTCGCAAAAGTACTCGCTTATTATCGCTGGAAATGTGCTACTATTATGTGAGAGCTTTGATATTTGATTCCCTTGCATCAACTTGTCTTATGCGACTTGATGAACCACATCTCGATCCTAAATCACGTTGCTAAAATACCGCTCAGTTTGACTCGAAAATAAATTTAAAGGATTCTAAGGCAATAATAAGGCGAAATTTGTATGCTGGTTTTGTTAAACTCTTAGGTAAATCAAATGATTTTGACTAAATTTAACGAAACTTCTTTTTACTAGCCACTTTAATGCATGAAGTTATTCTCGATTTATTGTAACTTTGTTCAGCGCGCAATTATCTCGTCAACATCAAAATTTGAAGCCTTCATCGCTTTTACCTATAAAAAGTATCAGGTCACTTCCCCTATGGGTTTGCGAAACAACACCAATTATTTGCAAATTTTAGGTGAATTACTCAGGCACGGATGAATCGCTTCCAAAAGCCTCTTTTGCGTCACGGAAGAATAGATGGTGCTATACAATGGAAAGCAACTGTTTTCTATTCCAGTAGCAGTATTCTTGAGAAAAAAGATTAAATGACCTATGTGCAGAAGGTAGTAATGCTAAATACTCAACCAGTGTATCCAAAACCCTTCTACGTAAAATAGTTACAAAAATTAAGAAAGAGAATCATTGCGTTCTTGATGCCGCAGATAAATTTGAACTTAGATTTGTCAATCATACTTTTTCAGCAAGCTTTTGGCTACTTGGATACGCAAAAGTGCTCAGCTTATGCTACCCAGGTAACACATTGGAAATTACGATTAACCTAATCGCTCCACCACTGATCTGAAAATCCACCTCTTGATTTTCATTAAAAGTACATTACATTACATTATTACATTATTTGCTAATGTTCTCACAGATTTTGCGCATATAAAAATACATGTCAAACTTTTGCTGCACTTTGGTAAATTGTTTACTTATTTAAAGTCAGTAGAATGATTTCTATTTTATATCCAAATAGATGTATGATGATCCAATAGATATAAAGTAGATGATATTTGTTATCATCTGTGTCCAGATTGTGAAATGGTGCCCATGGTGCCCAAATCCTGGAAGAGGGCACTTCACTTTCTCCTGCTCACACTCAAGCAAAACTTTTATTTTCGGCTCTTCCTTAATTCTATCCATGCGAATACCAAAATTGTGGATGCAGAGGGGTGTTTTGGTGGGTTTTATGCGCCCTGAACTTAAAAGAGCTGAATTGGGACCTCTGCAAAGAAAGTTTAAATCAGGTTTGGACTCTTGAAGTCTAACGAAAGCGGCAAAGTAATTCCATAGAGCACAAAATATTTGTTCACTTATAATGCTCAAGAATCACGGAGAAAAAGTAAAAGTTACTGTAAGCTCAAGTTGGATCATGTGTTGCTTATTAGAGATCGAGTTCTACATTCGGCGGCTTGATGCAGTACTATCACTTCTAGGATCCTCACTGACACACATTCGATCGTCTTTGAAACATGCGGACGTTATTCTTATACCAGAGCTCCACATCACCGTTTTGTGCTCGAAGACCTCTGAAAAGTGTATATCCACGAGCCTAACATCTTCATTTGCAGGAGGCTGTATCGTTGCATATGGTTTCATACACTCCGTTCTAGCACTATGATTAACGGTGTGCGGACTGGTCCGTGAGTAACAGGTCGCATCGCCTTAAACAGAGGGTGGCATTGCTCCAGTAGTATTCCCTCAAAATTAAATCACTGGGGGTGTCTTGAACTCCTCTTCTACAACTACTCCAATTCTAATGAATTACACCCCAATTGTCTCCAGAGTGGTCTCACGTTCATGGCACTATTGCGTTTCCGTGCCGGTGGGCAAAGCCCTCTTGGCAATGGTTTCGTTCCTTCTTCCATGGAACCAGGGACAGGCAGCTCAGCAGGCATTGACGACATGTACCCTCCACCACCCGCCAGTGCAGGTCCCACACCACCACACCAACAACAGCCAATGGGAGGCGGCGGCGGCGTTGGGGCTATAAATCAACCCACCTATTACCCCCCACCCACTTTTTAACAGCTACATCCCGCCTGCCCAACTCTTCAAGCTCTGCATTCCTTCTCCTCCACCTGCTCTCACCGATGTTGTCCACAAAGTGTTGTATGATCATGAGGACACTGCTTTTCGCACTTCTGTTGTGACAAATCCAGTGCTGTTAGATTTTTTTAATCCTCTTCCATTCCTTTCTTTCTTGGGCTCTACGTGTTCCGAAATTAACTTTATCTGCATTTGTTTGTCTCACATTTTCCCTTTTTTCTCATGCTTACAGAATTTGAAAGTTACTGCTAATAACATTGCTATTAGTGTAGTAGTTTCTATTTGTTACTCTTCATAGGGCATAGACTAGGTATTTGCCAAGGCTTTAACTTCGGTGCAACTGCGGCTGGATTATGTGGGCAATTCTTTTGTATGCCTGCAAATGTTAAGACTTTCAAGACTCAAAGAATATATTAAGTTCAAGCACAAGTTATGAGAATATTTTATTCAAGAAGATTGCACTTAGTAACCAGTGCAAATCCAGGCACTCAATCTGATTAATAAATAAAATTAATCACACAGCTTTTCATTTCAGTCTAAATGATTTGTCCAAGTTTTGTCATATAATCTTAAAATCAAACGAAGGCAAATTTTGCTAAGGTTTACGAGACATTTATTTTGAAAAGTACCATGAACTGCCCAGGAATGTCTTGAGCTAAATTAACCTGACACCGACAATTAGAAATGTGGTACTCACTTATGCATCACGGCAAAAAACACTACTCGACTATTCATTTGTATCTGGTAGTGCCATTTATGCCAAGCCTTTAATACTTTTAGTCTCAAGAGATGGCCAAGTTTTAAATAAATTGGTAAAATTGAGCATCAACTTTTTAATACCGAAGAGAAATGGGAAAAAATAATAGGACTGGCTTATCCAAATTCGTGTTTATAATCCATGACTTTTTCCATATGGAAATAAACGAGACAAAGTATTGGTAGAAAGACAAATTCATGCTGTGTAGGCGAGACTTTTTACCGTTAAAGAAGAGATGTCATTGTGGCGTCACAACTTAATGAACTGATGCTTGTGTGCGTGTGCGTCCTTAGTCCTATCCAGCTTGGCGGCTGGCTGGTGGAGAAAGCTGGGGACCAGGCCGTCTTAGTCACGTGCATTATGGCAATGGATTGACCTTGCCCCCGGAGGGTGTGTTAATCCATTTAAATTGTATATAAAGTGAATTTCAGCCAATCAGGAGGGCCTGAGTAAGAAGCCGTTTCTGGGTTGCTTGCAAAAATAGCCACGAAATTTACCACTAGAAAGTCGAACAAGATCTTTTCCCCGGGAGTGGGGGCATGCCTAGTGCGTTAGACCTAGTGGGCGGTGAAAAGTGCATATCATATCAGGAAGGGAATAAGAAATGAAAATTCATTTAGTGGAACTGCCATGTTTGAAGAGGTGGGGCGTCAGTGAGCACATGATTCAAGAAAATACACATTAAATCAATGAGACATTATATATCTCTCAAAAGCTTAACAGTAAAAAAAAAACAGGATGAGGAAGCGACTACTCGGATCACTTTTGTATAGACATCCAAAGGCCAGCTCGAGATGAAATACAGTAGGCTACTGAATATCCCAATTTTCGTCCCAATGTTTCACACAAAACTCGCTCCTAACAGTTGATTTTCATTGTGGTAACTAGGTTAATCGTGAGAACACTGGGATCATTCATACAAGTTAGAATTGCTGTGCACAGTGGTGATGAACTCTAGATTTACTCATTTATTAATATAAGAAAAATTGTGTTGCAGCGTGTCCCACTACCCCATCAGGTAGACACACAAATAGTGGCCAGGATGAGTGCCAAAAAAATCTCCATTCGCAAAGTATAAGGGTTCCATTCACTCTTCAGGGTTACACGAATTGACACCTCCATCTCCCCTACTTTTCTATCGAATCCTTATTCCACATGAAATCTGGGACGGTGAAAATGAATCTTTAGAGGTGAAGATCTCATGCCACTCGCAGGATGTATGAATGTAACCAGGAGACCTTAAGGTGGTAGAGCTCGATTGCAGGTAGTGTTTAAATCAAACTCAAGGTAATTAGAAAATGCCGAATTTGACATATGGGGCAGTTGTTTAGACACATGCCATGAGTTACTTGAGCGTATCACCTCGTAGTTCCCTCTGTGTGGTAGTTTTAAATGAAGCCATAAGAGTAAGATTAATGGAACTTTAGTGGTTGGGCTTAAAATGTTGTCAAGGAAATTATTTTTGCATCATAATTTTTTGCCATCAGATGTAAAAATGCTACAAAGCACTTTTCGGATACAAAGAATTTGTTATCAGTTTTGGCAGGTTAATTTAAACTCTGACAGAGATAGATGTAAATGTACTGAAGAATCATACTGAACAAGTTAATTTGTACCCTACTTCAAGTGGCCATTAGCTGAAGGACTGGACAGTCAGTCCTTTTTTCTGGACTCATAGCTATTTTCGCATATTTACGGTTATTGGTTAAAATTCTAAAAGAATCTCAAGACAGACAAATAAAGAGGCTTTTGACGGATATAAGCTTAACTTGTGATAAAAAAATTAGGCCAATATATATCGAGGGTTTAAAGTTGGAGCCGGCATTATTGTTTGGAATGACGACTAATTTCCATCACCCCAATTAAAAACGTCTTTTTACGGTACAAATATTCCCCTAGAGGCAACTGTAATACAATAGTGGTTTATCCCTCGGTTCTGGTGAGGCGCCACTTTTGTACTTCGAATAAGCCCCCTTGTACCTCGCTGGGTAGGCTACACAATCACCATGGAATTTGTAAAACTAACCGCCCTAACTAACGTTAAAGATAAATATGAGTAGTTATCCAAACTAACAAATAATCATCGCAACGCATGATAACAGTGAACATGACTGTGTCTGCACAGAAAATTTGAATTAAGTAATCAATTTGAATAAAGAACTACCAAAGCTCTCCATCATTTAAAAAAATTGATGATTTGTCAGTAAAAATTCAAAGGGAATTGTGCAAATCACCTAAGTTGGGTTTTTGTTTCATTTTTGCTAAATATGGTGCTAAAGCTAAAGCCAGTATTTCAATAAAATTCACATCAAGGGAGGCGGTGTTCATTCCAGTGAGTAGAAATGGTGTTTCAAAAAATATCATATCTTCCACCGAAGTAGGTACAAGGCTTGGTTTTGGATGGGTAATCTACTTTCCACACTGAGGTTTGGGTAAATTGATGGTTTTTGGTTCGAAAAATCTATGTAAAGACTCGATAAAATGTAAATTTGGCACATACTGAAGTGAGCATTGTGTATGCATGACGAGCGAAACATTTACACTTGTGGGAGGGTATGCCTGCATTGCACTATGCCAAAACTTTGATTTTCAAATGACTAGCTAAAGACTTTCTTTCCTCTATTAATGACAGTCTAAGAAGCATACATGCTTGGTAAAAACGCTGACTTCCTCGAATCAGGTTGTTGAGAGTTGAACTTAGCTAAATAAACGTCTGACGGTGATGCTCTTTCTGGGACATACATTAACTTTCCTCTAAAATGCTTTCCAAAAGACAAGATGAGGTATTCTCAGTACTGCAATTGTAACTATATATTGACATCAACTAAGAATAAGAGATTAATCTCGAAACACGGGATCGTTTGTCATTTTTGTCAGCTAGAAAAACTCTCTACTGCCTACCGCAACACTAAAAAAACACCGTGCAAGGTTTTAGATGTTCATTATTAGTCTCTTGTTGGAAATATTTAAATCAAGGTACATCGAAAAAGATCGCTACATTGTATTCACTTGCTTGAATTCACCAGGGTAGTTTACTAAACCAAATTCTACAAAAGCCTCGCAATCGTTGGACTGGAAATAGCCTCCATCCTTAAAAAAAAAAGAAACACTGGCTTCTTTCATACGCTTATCACTAACAACACAGCGTTGAATAATTAAAAAGTAGACTCAAGGATATTTCATTCAAGGAAAATTAAGTAACTATCCATATTTAAATAGCCCATCAATTTAATAAAACAGATAATTTTCATATGCCTCTGTCTTATTCAGTGCCTCCATTTAAGTGTATTTCGCCTCAAGTAAATACACCTAGGGTTTTGAATAGTTTTGCAGACTAATCCAATGACTGCTACTTTTCAATATCAATAGAGAAAAGTACTTATTTAGGGTTCCAGGTCTATCCTAGAGTCGCGAAAATTTACAGTATCATGAAAGAAAATTTTTACCAACCTTTAGAAGGGTTGGGGGAGTAAATGATGTGGCCCGAAGTCCACGCCATTGGGTTGAAGCACAATCTGCGGAGATTTAAGTATCCGCTTAATCTAACCTGGGGTTGAATGAACTATCGAAGCGCTGCGCTTTAGTACGGTATACAAAATAGACATAAGGAGGACCCCTAATTCGGCCTTCACCTAAACGCGCCTAGCCTTCCTTTCTTCCTTCTAATCCTTCCCACTGCTACATTATTCCAATTCATTTTCTCGATCATCTGCGTTCTCCTCTTTCCTCTTCTTCATTTTTTTCAGTTCCTCAATTCCAACAATTAGTTAGTCAGATGATTTAAGAGCCCTCAATCTAGTTGTTACGACCACATAAAACATACAACTAGCAAAATTGACTTCATTGTGTAAATTTTAAGGCATTTTAAATACAAACTGGGCGAACCAAGTTGGAGTTGAAGATACAAAAAGGACATTGGCAAAGTGATTTGTCGATTGTAGTGCTGTATTAAAACACACTTTACCATCTTGAATATTGCTGTGATTGAGCCCTAAAAAGTGAGGGGGTAAGTTGGAGAAAGGCCCTTTAAACGGGAACTGCACATAAGTTTATTGGTGCAACAGTATTTCATCTTTTCAAGCTTAAACGAACATGTAAATTAAAACAAACTGCGGTTACCTACTATATTAGAAGTCTGCGAACAAAAAGAAAAGCACACAAATTTAGCAAGGTGGACATTAAAATTACTTTCGTCAAATGGTAGAACTGGAAAAACACAAACGTTGACCATTTAGAGCACATAAATGCAGAAATGCGGGCCATAATGCAACTTTGCTATGTTCATCCAGACACTGATTTGTCCATTTTTTCACCATTATGAGATGTTTCTTTGGTCCCACAGAGTAAAAATTTCCATTATTTATTTGCGTCCCATCCACAATTCCCTGTTTTGATTTAGATGCAACAAGTCGTAACTATGTGCAGCCATTCCAGTAATACGTAAGTTGAGGAAAATTAATTGGGGCACAAGTACAGGTCGCGATGAATCTCTACTTGAGTTGATTACAACTATGCATTTTCCACATAGTTCTGCCTTCTAAATCTCATATTTAATTCTCATTTGCCTTACTAAATTTATAAAACAAAAAAGGCTTTGGCGCGGTCACTGAGTTTCTGTGTATCTTTACGGTGGTACAAAATGCTCACAAGGTTCCTCAGGAACTAGCCTTGTCAATGTCACCAAAAGAAGTTCCGATTTACAGTCTCACAGTGGTTGAAGTGTTATATCGCTTCCTCACTTCCATCTTTAGTCAAGATAAATATTATAAAATCACTTTAACCCCATCATCGAGGCCCAACTCTTTATTTAAAATGGGCTAACACATGTGCACACATGACATTACTCGGTCCGCCCCTCTGAGGAAGGATTTCACAAACCTCACTAAATCTTCGTTGACGTAGCGTCAGCGTAGTTTAGTCACCCTTATAAATGTTTGTTTTTGATAAACCAAATAGTTTTTAGTCCAATACCGTGTAAATCCAATGGTCCTGTCCCAAAAAATGTCTGTACACATTCAAATACAGTGAAATAAGGAAGGGTGTATACCTATTACATAATCCAGATCATGATTTTCATTGGCTCTAGAGATTGATAAGTCACTCATATCCAACACATTCTTAAGTCTATGCAGTGTGTTACATTCTACTGAACCAATTTGCATGTTCTGACAACTTTGTCAGAGTCCACCTACTTCCACAGATGCTCCGACTGACAGCAGTAAACTCGGATTTAAATAATGCGTAAAATCGTCAAAAAAGAAAAGACCGGTATTCGCCAATGCATTTTTAAAATTTTCAGTGCCAGGTTCCGTTAAAAGATTAGCAAGCTTTAAATAAGGGCAAAGTTGTGCATAAACAAAACAAACATGGAACTAAATATAACTTAGTGAAATAATGAACGCAGAGCTAGTGACACATCTAATCACCAAAATCTACAATCAGGGCCGCTTTCCTTCTGTAGTCATGGCGTTCTTCTTCATATGGGAACTTTTCATTACACCGTTAATGCTGATCAAGACAGCCCATGACAAGCGCTCCTTCTAGGTCGAAGATGGTATCAGTCGTAGCTCAGTCCGCCTCAAATCCATCCACCCGATTATCCGCTCACACACCCCAGATCTAAGTCTTGAGTTATGCTTGTGCCCATCTTAGTGCTCTTTTTGGCTGCTACGACTCCAATTCCTCATTCCACCCTTAACAACTCCATTCATTGCTATTAAACTCATCCATCCATCCCTCGATCCCGTCTATTTATTTGTCTCAAATACAATTATTCATCTCTCCTTATATCACTCCGCCCCATCATCACAATTAAATCATTGCAACTATCAAGCCCTCTCAAACGCATTTATTCATCCATCTACAAATTCATCCGTCTACTCACACAATGCGTCTATCGTCGCTACCCTTTACAATCGCATCTTGACAGATCTATTCAAATAGTTACGCCAGGTTGAGCAATTTAACTTATGCGAACCAAATATTCAGCTGCTATTGGAAAATTCATATATCTACAGAGGCCAGCAAGTAATCAGGCTAGAAAATTTATTTTAGTTTACCAAATTCTTTTGTATCACAAATGCTTGCCAAAATAATCTCTTGAAGTAATGCTCAAGTGCCCGTGATGGCTGTCAGATAAACTCTGAATTTAATGGAGTCTTGAAGCGTCCCTTACTACACGTTTGCTGACTACGCACTTAAACGTAACTATAAGTCATTAAGTTGCAGAAATCAAGATAGGACAGTCACACCTACCAACAGTTATCCAAGCAGCACTACTATCATGTTGAGGATGTGGAGGTTTATCACTTGTACGGTACTTTACAAGCTCATAGAAAATTAAATTTATGAGAGAAACGCTATCTAAACAGGAGGTTTATGCAGGTATTACTACTTCTAAATTGTTAGAAATCACACGAACATTTTTCGAAACGAGAGATTTACATTGTGAGTCTCCAGTTTTCAAAGTTCATGGGATTTTATTGTGCGAAGGAGTTTTAATTCCAATGGACAAAAAGGTGTACAGGACGGTCGCTGAGTTATAGTTTGCAACCCTCACCGCAAATGGCTGTTTTGAGCATTGCAAGGCAATAACTTATAAGTAGGTGAATGTCCTCAGGCAAACTTGTCAACCATGTTCGCATCCCTCTACGTCCAGACAGTCTTACTTTATCGGTGCTGCAGCGTGGTATGCAGTCTCACGGAGTTCGTAGCAATGTGTAGATGAGTGATAAAAAGACAGCACGCAGCCTAAAAGTGCGAAATATTGGGATTGGAATTGTTGCACGGAAAACACCAGATACGACTCCTCAAAACGGCCAAGAGAATGTGGGATTTGGCAGGTGGACAAGGCCTGAGTGAATGATTCGGTGGTGATTGCAAAATGGGTGAGGCGGAAATGAATGATTGGATAAATGAAGGAAATTCCTAGCGGACTTTGCCTATTTCTTCACCACAGAGCCCGAACAGAATAGACTGTCAACTGTGCGGTTTCATTCACGAATTAAACGCAGGAACAGTGAACTTACCGAAGCAGAATAGTACCGAGTTCTTAGATTCCCTAAGCCTTTGTTTCAACCGTCCCCTCGCACCTCTCCAATGACCCCATCTGCAGATTTTCACCCCTCTAAGACCCGTGTATTTGCAACACTCACGTGACAACTATGCTTGTAAATTGCATTCTTATCCAGGCCTTATTCTCTCTTCTTAAACGATGTAAAACTCGGTATTTGTAGGTATCATTCTATATGGTTTACTGCGCTACTAGGTCAGTAATGTCTCATCAATCATCAACTCTACACAGTTTTCTGGAATTGATAGTAGCAAATACTAAACAGCACGAGAGGTGCTTTTTTATGCTAGAAGTTGCAGGATGTTGTGCAATCGAGATCTCAGTTTCTATCTCAGTAATGTGTTTAAACTTGTTGATGCCTAGCTCAAGTATAAGATGAAAGAGATGACCAAGTGTTATTACTGAAGCCGTTATTTACGACGACACATCAGGTAAGAACACAATCGGATTGGTTTATCAATGCTACTGACTACAGGGGCGCGGTGTGGTGGAGTCGTTTGAGTACAGAATTCCGCTGATCTGTATGCTCCAAGTGTTTCATTTTGGTTTGCATCATGGATAAATTTATGGCACCAATATTGAGACTGCTTTCGTGACACCAACTAGCCTACTGAAGTTTCTTCAACAATTCGTCTTTCAGCCAGGCAATAAGGCGTGCTTTGCGGATCTTTCACCTAAAAGAGGATATCTGTCGTTCGGCAAAGCAATGCAGAGCAATTAAAAACAATTTACCAGAAGAAAATTAGCTACTGTGTGATTACGACAGTCATGACAAATCGACTCAACTGACTCCTAGGCTATTGCAGTCCCGCAAAGCTAGTCATTGAGCTCAGGATTTACTCTATGGGGTCACTGGCGGAAGACACACAGTTCGACTGTGGCATCGGGCGCGCGGAATACTGTCAACAACTTCAACGGCACAGTTTTTTGGGTATTTTTCGCAAGTAGAATTCTATTGCTCCGTTTATTGCAGAAATAAACCTAGCCCACCGCAAAATTGTCTTAGATTACCTGTTCATTCGCACTCTGCCATTGTTAATACCACACATCATTCCTCGCCCTTCAAATTCATTCATCAAATGATGATGTAAAATAGTACTTGTGCTCTTTCTGTTGTTCTCAGCGCAAGTATGAAGTCATGCATGGGTTTATATCCATAAAATAGCCACAATCTGCACCTGATGCGGTCAAGTTCAAGCCGCTTGTAAGACCTGACTTTGAAGTGATTAAAACTGGTCATGGCAGCGTGTTGAACTAGGTGGATGCTCTAAAATCACTGCTTAAACCACATCGACCTTTTGACATGCACTTATCACCACAATCTGTACCAAAACAACGATGTCATTGCAAATGCCACCCATCGTTTCGGACACTGTTTTCAATGCTATCTTACAGTTTGGTATGCAGACACAACTCACCAATTCCTGTCCTGAGGACAACACAAATAATTCAATAGCAGACGCAATACCCGCAGCTCCTCCACCTTCCGCCTTAACTGGATACTAGATGCCTCCTCAAGTATATTTGTCACTGGACCACACAATTACATACAGGTTGCTTGGAAAGGGCATTCTAATCCAACATCGTTCCACACCCCAATTACCACCCGCGCCATCACCTCAGTGTGATAATTTCTAATCCACTTCATTATAGTCCAGCGCTTACATCAAGCCTTTGACCTATGGACGGCCGATAACTTAAATGCACTCAACCATATTTCGAATTATGTGAGCGGGTGATTTCGTCCCTGAGGTCTTAGTCAATGTCGTTGCACAATCATAGTTTGATTCCTCGGTGATTCGACTAGCATGACGTCCTCCTCGAGTCACATACACCAATAGATAGCTCCTCCTAGTCTTTCGATGTGCTGACAAACCAATTACTTATACTGTCACCCGCCTCATTGTGTCTTCGAGAATGGCTCAAAAAGTGCACTATGTATGCACAAAATCTAGGTACAAACAATACAGACATTTTGCTTATATACACTTACATAAATCATTTCGGCATAATCATCACGAAGACATGGCTATCTCAAAAAGAATCACGAATTCTTCTCGTTTGTCTGTGTCGGAGGCCAAATGCCCAAATGTGTTAGACAAGCCAATGCAGCTGCCTGTTCCGCGAATCTTTTCGTGGTGGAACTGCAAAATGAAGTGGTGCTTAGTACTTCGCAGCAATAAGCCCAGCCCCCCATCGTCACGCGTTCATCGAATTGGAACTCCAAGGGAAGCAGGACAACTTGAATCAATTACACCAACAATAGCAAAAACATCGATGCCACTATACTTCTAGAGGATGAGTTGCAGAGAAAGCATTCCACTGTTGAAGCACTTACGCAATTTTGTGTGCATAACTTGCTCCATTCAACGTGACGATGCTGCTGAAGGTTCTTGACGCCTTGTTTTCAACCTAAAATAGACAACGTAATTCGTGAACAGGTGATCTGACCCATGATTGAAGGTAATAATCGCAATTAGATTTAATTTAAAAAGAATGGTAATGAAAAAATTAACGAATAAGTGGATCTGGTGGCGTTTTCGATTCAAAATGACAACTCGTACACCAAGTTGAGCAGACCCGACTAATCACTGCAAATGAAAGAGAGCAGAAATTGGTAAAATATCATGCAGATGAGGACTAACCACCTATCAAACAATGGCGGTTTCGTCCTGAGAATGAATTTGGATGTTTTACAGTGCAATACAGTACTGATACTAAATGTGACTACTTTAGAAAAAATCAATGGGAAGTTGAAAAAAAATGGTGGAAGTTACTGTAGTCAGGTTGATGTGGCTGGACAGCCCAAATTCCAACAATTATAAAAATTTACAGTCGAATATGTGGGAAAATCGATTTGCTTGCGTTTGCAGTGCCGCATAAGGATTTGCTTGGGCAAGTCACCGACTTCCGGCCACTCATGGCGAACAAAACCGAGGGGCAGAGTTAGCACTTCGCTGCCATCCTTCGCCTCTTCCTCTTCCAAACGCGGTTTCTTCCCCTGTAAGAAGCTTTCATTCGTCGATATTTCCGCCAAAACGCTAACGCGGTCATCCGAACAGAGTTTGGCGCTCTCGATAACCTCTTGTGGCAGACTCCAGATCTCGCTAAAAGTGGATGGAATGGTCAGTATCCAAAACTACTCTGAAGCTGTTGCGTGGGCGATTGCGAAATTACCTGATAATTTGTCTCACAGGGCTTATCCGATTTCACGCAATATGACTACATTAAATTTTTTACATGGCCGGATCTGCACACACCTCTGGAAATATCATAAGTGCTTCTGTTCTAACATTCACATTTACACCTATGCATGAAACGGCACAAAACAAACAATTCAACTGAAGATTGAGGAAACTGAGGAAACTTCAAGGCAACAGAAATAGGAAACTTCTTTGGCCAAATGATTAGCACAACTAGGTGTTCGGAGGAGTCATCAACGATGAATGACTACATAATGCACACATATACCTAGTCGTAAAAGATTAGTTTCGCCGCTAACCTTCACAGTGAGATCAGTAAGAGAACGTATGTGATGCCATTGAGTCGTCATGGTTAACAATTAGTTTGGTCCAACTGGTTACCTGTAAATAAACGCCATTTCGGAAACAGTTTTCGACTAGTGCCAAGCCACTTTTTACCATCATCAATACTAAACTAATCCAATCATCATTGGAACCAATCAGTATCATGGGGTCAATTGTGTCAAAAATCCATGGACAGAGAGGTCAGGATGCACTTACTGAGCCTCAAATATGGTTACCGACCACATGTCGATATGGGAATTAGGGACCAATTCTGCGAGCACCTGCTAGCGTATAGTCGAACTATGGTTAAGCTTGGCGACAATATTATTTTTGTAAAATACGTGTACAGCAACATTAGTGGCGGCGTTTCTCAATTTCACGCAAGGTTCACCGGTATCTGAATAAGAAATTCGCCTCCTATTTTCAACAAATGACGACAACTTCATTTTCCGACTGTTCTTTTACTTCGGACACCACATGGTAGCGTGGAGTTCTGTTTGGGCCACCTAAAATACTAGTATCCCAACTCTAGCGCGAGCCTTTGTCAAAGCCACTTATAGGCTCACGCGCTTCAAAGTGTTGTCAAGGATAAGGTCAATCGCCACGATAGCATAAACGTGAATTGCGTCAAGCTTCGCATATTATAATCAAGGGGTCCACTGCTACGCTTGACAGCTGTTTCTTACATCACCGTATAACTGTTTTACTTTCCATTAGCACGTACCATAACTCTGCCATTGTTTCAACAGACCCTGTCTTTACGTACTCTGCCAAACCAGTCTTCCCACTGAACATGCGCTGAATGCAGATCTTTGTTCCGCTGATATGATGGTCATATTTCACTGCCTAGTTGGCAAAGAAAAGAGGAATATAGTTCAAAATGGCCTCACAAGCACATCCACCATGGGCAGATACGTACTATATCGTGACGTGGCAGGTACTCATAAAGACGTAAAGGTAAAAATGCAGCTGTATAATGACGGCAGTGAGGAGACAGAGAACAGAAGTAGACAACAAGCTCGGAAATAAGCGCAGTCTGCCAAAAGTGTGCGGTGCAATGGACTAAAGCGCCATCAAATATTAGGCACAGTAAAGGCAGTGGTCAGCAGTTCAAGTACTGTGGATACCGTATTACGAATTTTTCAGTGTCTAAACATAGCTTGAATCGTTCCACACTAGTTTACAGTCCTCCACTCTTCGCGCTGGCATATTAGTATTTTTCATAACCTCACCTACTTTGGCAGTGTCTACAAAGAGCGTTCTGCTGGTTTCAGTTATTTAACAAGCTCAGCGATAAGAATAAGCACTTTTTCTATAGAAGCGAGCCAGCACCTTAAAAAGCGAGCACACATTATGGTGTTGATGAACAAAATGTAGGGGAAGACGTCTTTATAATTGCGAAACCAAATTACTTGGAGTGTAGATCAAAAGGATCGCAACCAAAGCAATGAACTTAGCCAGAATTTTTCGCTAATTAGGCGACTATTTACAGGGGCTGAAATTGATAAAGACACTTACAAGTTGAAGATACTCACGGACGAGTTGCACGTCAGAAGGTGGCGGTGCGTCGAGTGGCGGTGGAGCAAAAATGGCCGGGTTCCACATGGCCGCACGGGCAATCATCACACCTGCCGCACCTGTCGCTTGACGGAAGAATTCAATGTCTTCGTACAGGCGAATTGTATCCCTGGAGCCACCGCTGCAGGAGAGGTGAAAAAACAGCCAAATTTAAGGTGGAATTCATGCTTTAACACAACATTTCCACTTCCACGCAGACGAAGGTTGGTGGATCTCAAGCAAGCCAAGTCATTTGTACACACCGCACCCATCACAATGGTTACAAACGGCTTTGAGCATTCACTTCAAAGCAATGCAGTTGCTTATGGACTTCCGCATCTTAGTCTCTACAGAGTTAGTTTACCAATTCACCTAATATGCTAGAAGTAGTGGGAACCCACATTATAGAGGCCGATGAAAAAGGACTTACAATCTCAAAAAATCCTATATAAGCTTTCTAGAAATTATTTCATTCCACCTTCAGGGGACACGTGTCCTACGATTATCTTAGAAAATGGTGTAAATGTTCGTGAAATAACTGTGACGTCCTACTCAACATCGGATTTCGCGCATTTGGGAATCATTTACTGAAACCATATGTTTAATATGTGTAAAGTTCTACCAAAATTACTTTATATTCCCACCTTCACCACAGACAGCTCATCCAGTGAAATCTCAAAACCACTGCAATGATTCAGTGATTATAAGGGGAAAAGAGGAAGACGCGCTATTGCCAAACAACTCGAATGAATAGCTCAGTGATCCGCCTTGCAGGACTGGAAAAGTAAATGAGTTAATTGACCCGAATGTGGAGAGTTCACCACGCGTGCCATGATCAAGAAACAACAGTTTTTTTTCAATAACCATTCTCGAAAACTACATCACTTTAGCAAGTCATACATCCACTTTTACGCCATGCAAACAAAAAAGTACGTAAAATTGCATGGCTAAAAGAAGAAATGTTGACCAGAAGTCAATGGACCAGTTGGTAACACAAAGGAAACCGCAGTACTAGTACCATATCGACGAAATGAGAGGGTAATACGATGCACCTTGATTATATCAATAGGAGGCAGGCACTTTTTAATAAATGATTTTGCAGCTAATCGTTGAAGGATTTAAGCAAACACCTGCTAATTTCTTATCAAAGGAGTTAGTAAAAAACTCAACCCCGTTCACAAATACCTGGAGTTCAATACGCTTTTGAGCAAGAATAAATCATATGGCATTGTCTAAAGTACTGTCATGCAGTAAACTAAACTAACGCCAAGTGATCAGTGTAATAGACATAGAAAACGGAGAGAAGACACTCACTTGGCGAGGATCGGGGTTTTGATAGCTTGGGAGATGGCGCGAATGACGTCGTCGTGATTGGGGTCACGCGGACGCTCTTCGCGCGTCCGTCCGTGAACCGCTATCGCAGCCACGCCTGTCGAGTCGATCAGACGCACCAGCGATAGCGTTTCCTCCATCTGTAACGGCGAGGAAATGAAGGAAGTTAGGATTCAACGTGTTTGTAGTAGGTAGAAATACAGACGAAAAAGACAAGAGCTTTTTTTGGAATTGGTTAAAATAAAACGCAGATACGTCTCCAATTTCAGCTGCTTAAAACGACCAAATTGGCAAAATGCTGCACAAAATAGAGCACAAACTTGGTAACTGTAAAAAAAAAGCGGTAAATTTGCTTCTGAGATTCATTCTATATGAGGAAAGACAAGTCCTTTCAGTTCAAAATGTACTCGAAATCCGAGACCAAAATTGCTTGCATTTTCGGTAAACTATTGGAATCATTCCTGTGCATCGAAAGGCTATCAGTTTTGGACCAATTAAACACCGTTATGAAGACTTGAAAAGAAGGTAAATCAGTAAGGCTGTATCCTAAATCAGACAGGGTGTGTCAGTGTATACATTTGACTTCTTTCAATTCTCAAAACGAAAAGAATTTAATGTACCGTATAAAAGACAAAGAAAAAAATGTCTGTTATCACGATGAAATTGCTCATGTGCTCAAATGTATTCGGGTAATTTAATAATTTCCTATTACAGAAATATACGTAACTTTGTGGGAATACGCAACAAATGAATGACAAATACTTAGATCACCAATAGATATAGCCTATGAAACAAGCATGAAAGCTCCCAGCAATATAAGAAACGGCAAAATCGCAGAGATACAAATGTTGCCAACGTACCGTGCTAAGGATCCTTATCTTGCAAGTCACGGGGACACGAAGGAATTGAACGAGTTTGGTCAGAATCTAAGACGAACAAAATACGGTCACCCCCCAAACAACAATTGCACCTCATTCAGTCAAGCACTTAGAGCAAAGGGCTAAATATCTGCTGGATTCTAATTCAAAATAAAATTAACAAAAAATTAGTGCTGACCAACCTCATGGTTTCGCATCACTTTTGTCCAGCGACAAGATATTTACATCTATCACAGCGATTATCCATGCAATTGTAATAACAATTATCTGAACGTGTGAGGATATCAAAAGATAAGCCAACTAACGGTTTTTATCTTCTCCGGATTTCGTAGAAGTGCAGCGCCCATACCACCCTGGAAGGAAAAAAACAGCTTTTAAACAATACGTCTAATCATGTGAAGGGTAGGAAAATATGGGACTGAAAAAAGATAGACTCAATGATTAGATAAATGATTCAACCAAAGGACCAATTCTACCTTCCTATCAAGTGCTCAACAATTTGAAATGAGGTTACGTCAAAAATGGGATATTCACCTATAATGCCTACACTTTCACAAGAAAATAACCGAAATAACACTAAATGAAAAGGCGAAGATCTGTCCAATTAATAAATACCTCAAAGTGTCGAAATCAATTGATAAAAAGCAATATGCAACTAGTTATCACATGAAGAAGTAACGCACTTTGATGGAGTAATACTTGGGGCAGCCCATATTTACATCGATTGCAGCGACATCACCTTGACTGAGAATAAAGGTGGGGGAATAATAAACAGGACAAGATGCAAATTCTAAATCCAGCTGAAGTCGTATATAAACTCACACCTTCTGTGCAGCCATCAGAGCTCGTTTAGCATCCGCTGTACCCTAAGGAAAGCAAAAGGAAGTGCGTTCAGCTTCTGCCCGATTGGAAATGCGGAGTGTCAAGCTGAGAATCGCACTTACCAGCTGAAGTACGACTTTGCCCTTCTCCTCGGTCGACGTACGGAACACAATGGAACCATCATCGTAAACATAATCAACGGTTCCCAGTTTCTCTAATAAGGCAAGATTATAATGATATGCCTGCCCGTGTGTAGAAAACAAATGACTGTTACTCAGGCATTTCAGACTCACTGTTTTCCAAGCGGGTTGTTCTAAGAAGTTTGTAGTCAATTATTTCCTGTAAGGAAGAGAAAGCAAGTTAGTGTAACCAAACGAAGCTACCGTAGTTTTGATTCTGCATTAGCTAACAAGACGCAATATCGCTTTCGTGAAAGCAAACATACCTCGGTGTAGACGTACGTGGCGCCGTAGCGAAGAGCGAGTAAACGCATTGGATGCGTAGAGACGCGGACCATAGGAGCGAGAACGATGGCTCCGTCGAAATTCATGGTTTTCTATGGAGAAAACAAAAGGACGAGGCTGGAATTGGAACAGAAAGCCCGTAGTAGGAAGTTGGAGAGAACAGCCTGGGGCAAAAGCTTTATTAATTTCGACAGTATTTACACATTGATCCCCATATCATCCAAAACAGACGTAAAACGACAAAAGATAAAGGTGGAGATGACAGAAATAGGTTCAGTAGATTTTCGTTCGCTGGAAGGGCACAAACATCAAAGATGGATAAAGCTTTTGCACAAGAGTGTACCAGCGCAGAGCACCACACAGCTTCTCCTTCTCTTCAAAGGACATGCCAAACTTAAATAGAAATTCAAAAACCCATTCACCCCTACCAAATGATCTTCGATACATTGAGCGATAACTATATCGATGCCTTTTAACGAGTTGCCAGTGAGGAACACACGCGACAATAAGTCCTCCGAAAGTGCCTGAAAATATTCTAAACAAGATTCGGCATGTACCGTAAGTTGACTTTTCTGATTTGCTTTATTACCACTAAATCCGACAAATTTTTGTTTCCACTCGAGATACTGATAAGTTAAAGCCTTCTCGTAGTCGTTTGTAGCTTAAAATGATTATACAGAATATTTTACCTCTTAGAGAAGGATTTTTAAGCGAAAGAATATTCAACGTCTCTAGATCTGCCGAGACCATCAAGCAGCCGGGACCCAATTAGCTAACGAGGTACCAAAGCCTATCAATCATGCAGACCGCACGCGTGCGACGGAAATTTGAAACAAAAATTAAGATGCGTAAAGTAAGTAGTCATTGACTCATTAATAAAAAGCAGTTTTCTATCTGGAAACAGAAAAACATTTGTGTAGGGTTTCAATAGTCATTTTCGTTTCTGAGTGCTAAAACCTTCCCTGCCTGAAAGCATGTATTATTGTCGCTTTTGCTTTGTAGCTTTCTAATCAATTGTAATCTTGTCTATTATAAGTTTTCCATAATATTATAAGCTTATTGCTGCTCTTAAATAATTTAAACTTACAAAAAACTCAAATGTGCTCTTTAATGGCGAAAATATCTGACCCGTGTTTCAAAGTTTGATACCTTTATAGCCTTACAGTTACGAAAACCAGTGGATGTATGTTTGTAATATACGCTTTATCTCATGACCTTGAACTTGCCCCCCGCGAGCGGTCTAAGACAGTGGTTGACTTCGACTTTTCGGAAGATATGACGGCAAAAATGGCAGGTAAAATGGCCAAACAGCTTGCGGGGAGTGGAACTGGTCAGAGTTTCATGGATAGAGTTACGCAAGCTAAATACAGCTTAGCTGGATCTGCTTTGGGGAAAGTCGTTGCTAAGGCTTCAACAGAAGAACTGATTGCCCCCAAAAGAAAGCACTTGGAAAGTAAGACAATGCTTCCTCAGTTCCATTGTAGATCTGACAAGACTGAGTAATGAACCAAGTGTCTCTATACCCCTTCTTGTCAACTTCTTATCCGAAAGAACTCGTGAAAAATCCTGGGTTATTGTATTCAAGGCACTCATAACTACGCATCACTTACTTAATTATGGGAATGAGGTACGTGTTTAATGAGGTACACTTTGTAGAAAATCTCACAATACATGGCTTCAAACAACTGTCGATTCAACCTTCCTCATTTTAATGATAAATCGAGCTCCCAATGTGAGGTATTTTGTTAGATTTATGAGTGATAGCTTATGAAATGTCGCTTTTCATCCGCAAGTATTCAAAATATTTGGCTGAAAAAACGGAGTCATATCAGAAGATGGCGTTTGATTTCTGTAAAGTTAAGCGTGGGTAAGTTGTGTTCGCGTCAAACTGAGGACCATTTTAGACTTGTTAAAGTACGGAGATTTTATATTTTACCGAAACTAATTGTTTGTATGCTTATCCCATTTTTCACTCATCAGGTGCTAGCATTAGTTATGGGTCTTGAGATTACATATTAGCTATTATTCCTATCAAATTATTGGCGTCTTGTAGAGAATCACACATCGTCTATTTTTTTTATTTGTAAAATGTTTGTGAATATTTGGGGATGCGAATTAATAAAATCGAATGCTCTGATTTTAGTAAAGACGATGGTGTTATGCGTACTATGCCAGCTGATAAGGTGAAGTATTCGTAAAACTCTCACTAGCACCACGTGCTACATTGGGTGTCGTTTGGTATTGATTGTTGTACAAGTGAATGCTTTCTACCTTTTTAACTTTTCGTTCTTATTAATTCATGCTGATTATAGTTATTGAAGGTCCTACCTGTTCTTCGAGATCAACTTTACGTTCTATTTAAGTTCGAGGTATGTTGGTTACATTATAAATGTTAAACGTTATCGAATCGCAAACCTAATATCTCTTTGTGCCTTAGGCTACCGAGAAGGATCTCAATAATCTGATTATTAATGCAGCATTCATCCTACTTTATAAGGACCTCATACGGTTATTTGCTTCCTATAACGAAGGCATGATGAATCTCGTTGGTGAGTTTCTACTTATAGTGCAGTCTGATTGGTTAACTTTAAAATGGAATATTTTACTTTTACTACAGAGAAATACTTTTCAATGAAACCTTCTCATTGCAAGACAGCTATTGAACTTTATCGGGATTTTCCTAATGTGATGTCTAGAGTTGATGAATTCTTGACAGTAGCAGAGGTGAGTACACATATCCTTGAAAGTATTAACATTTCAACTATCAGTGACGAGTGTTTTGATGTTACATTTTCACAGAGTCTTGGAATTGGGGACAAGGAATCGATGGGATTACATCCTGTAAGACACTTCCTCATAGGCATCCTTTTTTCTGGTTTGATGTCTGGATTTTATCCGACTATCTGCCTACCGAAGGTGCCTCCGCAAATACTTGAAGCAATGGAACAGCATCTTGCTCTTCTGAAAAAGAAGAAGGCTGGGTAAGATCGTTTTCGTCCAGTTAGCTTTACATTGTTTTGTATATCATGATCCATGGATCTCCTGCCCCTTTTATAACCAGTCAATCACGATTTTTGTCATTATTTATCCTAAAATGAATTGTCTCAAATTACACAGATTTGTAAGATGCTGGATGTCTTAAGGAGTATCCAAATCATGTAAAGTTATTAAACAATACTTTCTAAGTATGGCTATCAAAGTAATTCGGTCATATCCCGATTAGAAGGTTATCAGCACGTTATGTTCCTCTTAGTCATCAAATGTGTACTAGCATTTTTGCACTAATTTTGTATCAAATTCGAGTTTTGCGTTAGAAAGTGAAAAGTTATCCACAGCCTACAGTTCTGCTCGTTTTCTTTTCCAGTGTCATTCTCACGACAAATGGAAAATATGCGAAATTTCCTGAATCGAGATACCCGTGTTGCCTTTGCTTGCCTATGAAAAACTACATATGAGTGAAATATAAATTAAAATGCCGACGTGGCATGTTTTGAATTGCTGGGATGTTTAGTAGCGGACAAATTGGAAGTCCAAGTACTCATTGTGACTTAAAACCATGTTTAAAAGAGCAAAGTTAGCTAGGCCCTTAAGAGTGACCGAATCTTACGTGATTTACTTACAAAGAACCTTAGTTGTGTTTAACTTTTCAAAATGCGTATTTTCAATCCCACTGTATTTATTAACAGAGACACGTAGTGTTATCGGAAAATGGAATGGCGGCTTTCCTTGATCCATTACAGCCTAGATTCTGTTTTCTTTGAATATCTAATGGCGGAAATTGGCTGGTACGTTATCCTTTCAAATGCTGTTTAATGTCAGCATTTCTGCCATAAGCTAAAGTGCCGTTTTTCCCGCCGGAGTTAAGGTGCATTTTGCGTTTGTTTTCCCATTGGAAAGTACCGACAGCAGGGAGAAACTGAAAGTAGGGGCGATTATTAATGATATGGTAAAGAAGTAATGGGGTGTGGTGTTTTTTATTAAAAAAGGAGAGTTTAGTGGAGGGGATCCCTCTAAATTGCAAAAGTAGCCGACGTCCAAGTGATTACCTCACTTCGCGCCTTAGCAACGCACAATCCTGCACACATCATGAGGTCTGACCTACCCTACCTCAGAATTGCCTTGCAATTCTCAATCTGTTTACCAAAAAGTTTGTCATTTTAAGCAGTAACATGAAAATTTCGAATTCCCTGAAATTTTGGTGCCATTACTTCCCTTCCCTTAAGAAACTCTAGACGAAGCAATGGGAGATTTTCATGTTCACAGTTTGGCTGGCTGTTGTTTTAAATATGTTCAAGAACTTAACTAAGCAATAATATAAAGTTAGGTGTAAAACTATCAATTTTGGGATATCATGGCAGCATGTTAACCCCAAGACATAATTTTAAACTATATCTAAATAACTTCTTATACATTTTAATGCCATCTATATCATAAGTTTTGGATGTATTTCCTCGTGAAAGGAGCGATTTTCAGTGGCATGAAGCCTCGGCACATCCTCTTTTTAACGCATTCAAAGGGACGTTGACTATCGAGTCTAATGTTTCCTCAAAATTTGCCTTAAATGACCTCCTTATTTCCCCATTCTCAATTTGTCAATGAGCGTTAATTTGTTAGCACGAGAGCATCATTGTGGATGAAATAGAGGTTTTCCAAGATTCGCTGCAGTTCAACTTGCGCTCAAATTGGTTCAATGTCACCACTGGTTTTTGAAAGCATAACTTGTATATGCCTGATATGTTTAAGATTAAACATAATCTTTTGTCAGTAAGGTGAAAATCCGACGTGCCTGTCACAATAACTCGATTGGCTATTTGGGTTTTAATGGAACCCAATGTAAATATATGCGTAAGTATTAAAGGTGTAACATTTCATTTTGAACAAATGCTTTAAGTTCTTTCTTGGTTTGTTGCATAATGTTTGTGCTGGAAATTTATTAGATGGTGTTGAAAGTGGAGTCTAGCCTTCTTTTTTTTCGTATTATTGCAGCGAAGATGCTGATATTGACGATGTGGAGGAGGTGACAGCGGTGGCTGCGAAGCCAAAGGAACCTGTAGCAAAACCACTGTCACCGGCATCGAAATTGAAGGCCAGTGCTTCCCCGGCTCGGCCGAAATCACCCACCCGTCCGACCTCATCACCGGGTGCAGTGAAGCAGGCCACATCAACAGATCCAGCATCTACAGCCAATAGTCTCCTAATCGCCGACTTCGTCGATACGGTGGCGGCTGACGAGACGAACGCCCAGGCGGCCGTAAAAGTGCCGCCTGCGGAGGTCGTAATCACGGGTCCTGATGGCGAATGCACCGAGCCTGTAGAAGATGAAGAGCAGACGGTGTTGGAGGAGGGACAAGAGGAGGAGCCGGAAAAGGAGGAGGGTGTGAGGGAAGAGGAGAGAGAGGAGGATGAGGACGGAGGTGAAGGAGTGGGTAAGCGAGACTATAGTTGCATTTCACTCGGTGACGCCATCCGTGCCTTACTGCTTACTGCCCTCTTTAGGCCATTGATTTTAATAGAAGCGTGTTTACAAGGTCTATTGCGCTAACTACTTTTGATGCTGAAATACCAATGGAGATAGCCTAATTCTAAGGCGCTTTATTCACTGAAGTTGTGTTAACGGAACTTAATATAGGATATTCGGCGTTGTTTTTCCTATTTTCCCCATATAGTCGTGAATTTATGCAGCATGTCTTTCTACTTTTTTGTTGATGCTCTTGACCTCTACTTCAGCTGCAGTCATCTGTTCTTTTTGTATTTTTCCATTTGATTGCGGTATTTAATCCTTATTTTTTGATATGTGGGTCTTATTTGGTTGTCTGAGTCGTTCCGTAGAAGTAGATTAGCAGAAAATTTTTAGACATTTTTAACCCTAAGAGTTCAACCTTTGGAGTAGTTCAAATCACTTTACGGTCGAGTGCTAATGTTCTTGGTGATTTTAATTCTTAGGACTGTCGCCTGAACAGCAACAGGCCGTTATTGCCGCAGCAACCATTCATTTTGTCCAGTCAGCAGATCGCACCAACCAAGCAGTAAAACACTCGGTAACTCTCACCCCGCGACAAACGCGGAAATCTTGGTTAGTGTCCTTTTTTTCTAGTTTGAAGCAGCGGTTCTTGGAGCTTAATCACTGAATCTGGTGGTTGAATTCCCATCTCACTGGTGATGTTTTACGGGTTTTACATCTATTTTACCAGTATTGTGTTATAGAGGTTTGTGATTCCATTTTTAATGAAAGCTAAACACTTTTGCGATCTTGTATGTTAGCAGGATTTACATATAAGATTGGTCTCATGAGAGAGCTTTAAAACTGCGCTTTTCGTTTGTCGAAAAATTTGTTTAAAAAACTGTTGTTAAATGCGTGCGAAATTCCAGTTAAATGAGCTTTTACTTTTATTTTTATATATTCCTTTTAGGTCAAAAAAATTTGTCGTTTCGGGTTGCATTGTTGTTATATGTTCTATGGTTGTACGTCTTATTGTACACCAGTCGAAAGGCAACTTACGAATTTACATTTTGACTGATGATGCGTTAAGTCTTCCACATTTCAAATATCACTAGGCTCAGGAAACTATTATTGGGAATTAAGACCCCAACGTTAACTCTAGTCGAAATTTCACTCAAGATACCCTTTCAAACCACCACTCGACTGTCTTCCATATCATGGATATGACGTCAGAACTCAGTAATGGTAGCAATCGGTTGTTTGATCTTGAAGGAACGAATCAGGTAGTTCCACCCGCAGCGCCTCGCCCTCAAGGCGACGTAGTCCCTCACCTGCACGACCACCACCTCCTCACGCAACCTCACCCACCCATCTGGTCTTTCCCCATTCTGGTCGTTCCACCCCGGTTCACGACGATTCCGAACCTGAGGGTAAGTGCTCAATCTCCTCGGTCTCACGGAGTTCTTAGACTAGTATTTTAATTTCTGTGACCAGCTTCAATAATCTGGACACAGATGTTTGACGGTAATTCGAAACGGGTCATTGAGGTAGGACTAAAAACATCTCCCTTTCCTTAAAAATGTGGTAGATTTTTGTGTCACGGTAGTCCATTTGAAGCTTTAATGTATCCTTATTAATTAATTTTATTGACTGTGTTCTCGATAGAGGTTTTGTTAGACTCCATAGCAGTTCGGCAGTATAAAATCATTTCCTAATGCACGTCCAGTTTAATTTACGGTTTCTTCAACATTCTTCTAGATTTACTTTTCGTTAGCTCGATGCTTACCTAACATGCCTATGTTTAGGAGCAAGTTGGTCGTTTTGTTCTACTCACCTTATCGTTATATCATAAAACTGTAAAAATTTATCGTCTGTTGATAGTGAACTTGACATTTTATGACTTTTTGGCTTGAAAAAGTGTTCTTTTTACGTAGAGAAATTTAATTTTGGTCAACATAGGTTAAATCATATAATTATTTCCCAGTATTTTCATGTGATTACAAGTTTGTCGATGCTGTGTCAAAAAACACTGTTGAGCTTTCTTTTTATTTCATAATCTTATTAATTTCTTGTGATTTTAAAATGTATTTGATAAAAAGGGGTTTGATTAATGGCATCTTTAAATCTGTTGTTGAAGATAATTTACTTCAAATTTTGTGCAATTTTCCTTAGTCAATTTTAAAAAAGCTTCACAAATAAAGGAAAATATCATCTATAAAACTGCTAAAAACGCATATTTTCACTTGGGGGAGAAGTGTGCTTATATGGTCTGTATAAGATGCGTTTTGTAATAAACTGTGTTACTTTCAAGTGATACAAATTTTATCAAATTTATTTGGTAATAGATAAGACATACGAAAACGTGAAACATTTCAATCAGGACCGAAGTGTAGACCCTTTTTCAATCTTAAACAATGGAGCAAAGTATCTACCACCCCATGCCAATGCGTTGGGCTACCTACAAAACTGTCGATTCCTATCAAATGCAAGATATCGTGTTGAGATAATTGCTCCAACACCAATTAAATCGTAATGCTTAGTGCTGACGTTAAGTGTTGCGCGGACAATAAAGTGCTCTACACTCGAAATTCAACAGAAATTAACCCAGGTTTAGCTACCCTTGAGCAAAGAATAACAGCTTCTTTGGCTAAGACTATATTACAGAGAAGTTAGGATCGGAATTCACTTTCTCTACTTTTTTATTTCAGTAATTTAAGAAACACTTAGCATTTCGCAAACCTATAGCGGGTGGCTTCTGCCATCCTTGTAATCTCTGATCTGATTTTGGTTTCATATGCAATTTGCCCTTTAGTGGTATTACTGTACCCTTGATCCTCTACTGCCAATTCCTCTCTCCGGTTTGTTTCCTAACTTTCAACAAAATAAGAATCCCGATTTATTAATGGGGTTGCGCATCTTTTTATTTGTAAGCTTATGTAAGATTCCTAATAAATCCAATGCGCGGGATTGCTGCCTTGGTATCTGATAAACTAATAAATTTGCTTAAAATATTCAACTTTACCTTTTTTGGGCCTAGATTATTGAGATGAATCGTCTTAGTAAGTCATATTTTAGTTACTTAGCGTCACTGTTTTAATCCGGTTTACATTTGTAAGGGGTAAACAAGCACGATTTTTGATTTGTTTTTTGTAGTATTTTTAATAAAAGGATTTAAGGTTAAACAAATTTACAAGTAAGTTTTTTTCTGATTACCAAATAGTGAGCTAATTTTCTGCACGAATGACTGCTTTACTACCGAACACCGTGACATGTTTATCATTTTGACGCGCGTATTGTAAAAAAATTTGGCTATATTAGCTTAAATATCTTTGAAACCGACCTCTCAATTTGGGAGCAAAAATTCCATAAACCTGCACGCTTAAAAGTGCGAAACCTTAGCATCACTTTGATGTGTAGCAAAATTTGGCTCTAATACATTTCCAAAACTTCTCTTTGTTGGCCTCCGTATCGCGTAGGCAGGCCTGATTATGCACTGCTCTGTCAGTACCGAAGACGCGCCGAACGAGGCGGCATCGTGGCTATCGATCGTTTGAGAGCGAGAGAGGGCGGGAAGAGCGAGCGAAGGAGAAAGACTCCACGCGCGCGTCTGTGCGTCTTTGCTGGCCTTCCTTCTGTACCTCCCTTCGTGGGCATTTCGCTGGAAATCTCTGGATAGACGTGCTTATCTTTCCGCTTGTTTCACTGACTTATTCAGCCTGTTTTGCGTGACTTAGTGGCTTACACTTCGTTAGCCTTTCTGCTGGCTCCACTTAGTGTCTGTTCTAATTCTAACGAATCGTTTAATAAATTAGAAACTGAAATGGAATTGATTCGCAACTTTCATAAATACTCCCCCTTATTAAAACTCGAGATAACTGCGAGAATTTGCCTTCATGAATTCTAAACATCGCGTCTCGTCATTATAAAGGACCCAGCTCTCTGTTGACTTTATCTTAAATACGAACTCGAGTTAAATTCCATTAAAGTATTTACTGCCTCTTTTACTCAACCGTTGTTCCAGCTCATGTAAATTAGCTGATCATGATGGTGGATTAGTGTCTCTTCTTTTCAATCTGGGAAAAATTTTAGTTATCCAGTCTCATGAAAATAGGTTTCTGGGTAACTTTTTACATAAATTCAATTTCACAAACTTTTGCTTGGGATCTGTCAGGCTACACAGATGAAAAAGCTAGGTCCTTTTTTTGTTTGATTGGTTTGGACTTGAGATCCATTATTATTTGATTTCAAAAGTGGCTACACCTCGCAAATGCACTGGTTGGAATTGTCAATTTGTGCATCAGAAAGTACAAAGCTTCGTGACCAACCATCTGCCTTAACGCTATAAATAAGTCTCTACTGTTGGTTTAAGTACTTATAAACAAAATCTATCCCCATGTCCTTTAATAGTTCAGGAACGGTAGCTGCTGTCCTCATAGTCATAGTCTTTTCTACAACCTCTAAAATATTGAATAGAGTTAGATCTGGCTCTATTTAAGAAATAGCATGATTTATTAGGGTAGCTCCCATTGGGAGCGCAGAATTTGTAAATATTCTATACTGTCCGGAAATCGATTTAAAACAGTAGTTTATGGGAATATGATGGCTTGTGCAATACAACATCTTTATGAATACAATAATTGTAGTAAGTACAATCGGCTTCAGGCAAGACGTATTTATTTTTTGATTTCTGAACCCGTTATGAACCTGAATTAATTTACTCGATAATTATAGCGAATAATCAAGCACAGTTATTTGTTTTGAAATTGAAATGGATAAAACACCCCTCCCATTTCTTATAACGTAATGCGTGATTCTATAGTTTCACTCAATTTTTCACTTTCAAACAATTTCCAAGGTCTTTAGTGGAGTTCTTGTTAACGACTCTTTCATCAAAAGAGTCCACTGATAATGCTTCAGCACATCTCACATAAACTCCTTCACGTGGACGTTTTCCTGATGTTAAGGAGTCATAAACCGTCTTGGTCAACTAAAATAAAAATTGCTAAATGTTTTGCGTTTTGTTTCGTGGCAGTCATCTCAGGGTAAATGCTTATGTGAGCTCAAAACTGCCATACCCTCTGAGATATCCTGATGTAAGTAAATCAGGAATTCAACGGAAAACAACCAGAATAACTTAATGTAGCTTTAAGGTTTGCAAATATTTGTTGGCAAAATGGTAGGGATGCCTATAAATCAACCGTTTTTATAAGACCATAAACAATCCTGTCAGGTCTCTCTCTCGGTTAAAGCATAATTAAAGGGTGGAATTTTATGTTTTAGATGATTCGTGATTTTCTTTTGCTGATTTTGGTTCGAATATTCACCTTTTTAGTAACCTTCAAATTGCTTAATGATGTTGCTACTGGTCCAATTTACATAAACAAAAACGACCTTTCCTACGATTATTCCCAAGGGAATTTTAATTATTCTAATCGTATGTACTCTGCCCCTTCAAAATAGAAATCACGAGTCTCATTGTCGGGTTTTAAACAATTGTACCTACCTGGCACTTTGGGAAGATATATGCTTAATGTTACGTCAACCATTGTAGCTTCTTTTGCCATACCGTGTTGTCGAAGTGTATAACTAAATTCTCATTTGCTGTTTGGAAGTAAAAATGTGAAAACTGGGGGGTTAAAACAATCAAGTTACTGCTTAACCTATTTCTTTTGAGCGTCCTACTCAGCG